TGTGTCTCAGGGTCGATACATGGTTCCCTATTGTCGGCCCTTCAAAGGGGACCCCTTACACGTGCATACCCTATAAAAACCCAAGGGGGCATACTTCGGAACCCTTTAAAGAAGGTAAGGGACCAGACAAAGGGACCCTATACCAACCTGAAACCCTGAACCTTTACACCCTAAGCCCTAAACCCTAAACCCTAAACCCTAAACCCTAAACCCTAAACCATAAACAGAACCATCCCGGCTGAGAAGGCATTTGGGGGGGGGGGGGGGGGGGGGGGGGGGGTGGGGTCGGGTTTGGGGACATGCTTGCCCTGGGCTTGTTGGTTGAGGTCATACCCTCAGCCGCAAGAAATCTGGGTTAGGGTTCAGGGCTTGGGGTTTGGGGTTTAGGGTTCAGGGTTTAGGGTTTGGGGCTTCGGAAGCCTGGGCACAACCTGGCGTGAGGGAGCAGTGCAGTGAGTGTTGGGGGGGGGGGGGGGGGGGGGGTTGGGTAGGAGGTCTAAGCCCTAAACCCTAAACCCTAAACCCTAAACCCACCCTAAACCCTAAACCCTAAACTCCCTATATTGCCCTTGAATGCCTGTACAACCGATCACCTTGTGTGATGCTCCGGCTCTGCTGTGGATTTGGATGTGCGGAGCCAGCCTGAAGCCCGAAAGACAAAAAAAAACCCTAAACCCTAAACCCTAAACCCTAAACCCTAAACCCTAAACCCTAAACCCTATAAACCCTAGACCCCCAAACAAACTGGACCCCCAAACAAACTGGACCCCCAAAATTTGAGAATGTCACCGGAGCCACATGGCATGCTCGCCAGCATCTGCGACAAGAACCCGACATCCCTCAAACTATTGGCTCTTTTGGGGGCTCCTTGATGTTACATACTTAGGAGCCCAATAAGTGAACTTTAAAGTTTTGGGTATACCAATAAACCCCCTACTGAAAGAAAAGCTTAAACTTTATTGGGCCAGGGTATTGGGCAACTAAGCATAACTGTTGCATTCCTTCCGGGTATAGGAAGCCCAAAATGCCCTACAATCTCGGAAAAGGGAGATGTACCTCAATTCTTGAGTTCCTAGGTATATCTCCTCTTTTCATGGTTGGGCGTTTTTGGTTGAGCTAGGGTTGGGGTTAGGCGGTAGCATAGGGAAGACTTCAGAGACTGAAGGATTACAGGTCTCTCGTTAGGTTTGTGTGATCTGGCCCGGCACCTTGCTCACCCACCGCAGGGGAAACATATCTGGGGAGCTCTTTCAGTTCAACCCGCCGAGCTACACCATCGTGGATGTCTGGCACCTAGATTGTGCCACTCCCAAACCCTACAGCACTCCCAAACCCTACAACATACAAGACCCTGGGCGTGAACATGAACTCTGCGCTTGCCTGCAAAGTTAGTGCCAGGCAGGTGCCCGGACGGCTTTGGAATTCTTCCTCATGTGAAGAGGGTTTTCCAGCAACCGCCACGCAGAAATCCAAGGGGTGTATCACGGCGCAAACTGGAAGCCTCTAGACTCTCCAGGCTGCCACACTGCATCACCGGAATCACTCCTCGACGGTCCCATAGTGCCCTACTATGGCAAGCTCGTAACTTAATGTCCTCAACACTCTAGTTGAGCGGTGCGCAAAACCCTTGTACCATTCATTATCAGGAAGCAGAATACGTTTTTGAAGGTTTCCCTTGCGCCATGATCTTGTTGTGGTTTCTGCTTACGCCGCTTACGCCGGCGACACCCTCCACCATCTTTCATACAACATGCATTTTAAAAAGAACAGACAGCCTAATTATTGTTTTGAAGCACCATGCAAAAGCCATGCATGCTAGCTTGCGCCGCTTGCGGCAGCGTTGCCCCAGAACTGTTTACGCTCCCTTACGGAACACAACACTTTGTTTCCGCCAAATCTTGTTTCCGGCGGCCCCTCTCTTGTCTAAACAAGGAGGGTTTTGTTCTCTGCCCAGTTGTTGAAGAAGGTGGCTGATTCAAGGATACTCGGCGGGTTTCTGAGGCTGGCACTCCAAGATTTTCGGCGGGACTCTCTTGCGGGCTTCTGTAGAGTTGCACTCCCGGGATGATCGGCGGGATTCTCTGTGGGCTTCTCTGCGAGAAGGGCACTTTAGGGCTTTAGGGACCAGGCCCAGAAGACCGGGCGTGACACCAGGCGAGGAGGCGAGGAGCATGGTTGAGTTAATTTTCAAGTTAACAACCCCACACAGGGTGGGAACAAGTTGTGTTCAGAGTCCAGGATTTTGGCTGGAGGGTGTAGGGTTTAGGTCAGAGCGCAGTAATTACCTCCAACCTAACCTAGAGGTACTTGGGCACGTAGAAAGTGAGGGTGGTTGAAACCAAGCCTGCTGTTCGATCTCTGCCTGCGTCAGGAGCTCGTAAACTTCGACCTGAGCACCTGAAGCCTTGAACCCAAGAAACCAGAAACCCCTGAACCCCCTCGAATCTAAACTTCGTTTTCTTCATCTTCGGAAGACTGGGCGGCCCAAGATTCTGGCGAAGCCCCAACATGGACATATCCTAAAATAGGGGGTGCCCCTCATATACCCCCCCAAATACTATAATCCTTATTATAGGAACCCTTAATAAACCCTAAACCCTGAACCCTGAACCCTAAACCCTAAACCCCCCAAAATCTCTGAACTCTGAGCGGAGGTTCCACCGGGTAGCCCGTGGTCGGGAGGCGGAGAGGCTGGTCGAGACGGAACAGAAAAGGGTTTTCGGGTTTAGGGCTTAGGGTGTAGGGTTTATTCGGGGGTTTAGGGCCAAGTTTAGGGGCCATGCTAACTGTAAGAAGCAGGACAGGTATGTGGTTAGAACCATAAATTTGAGGTTTAGGATTTTTGATGCTCTAGCCTCGTGTGACAGATGCTTTTGAGGGAGTGGGCTGGAAAGCTAGCCAACCCTAAATCCTTAAATACCGAAAGTCCTAATCGCCTTACCTCCTGAAGCCGGAATTCGTGCAGGTTCCTGGTGCCAGTATGGAGGAGGGCCCAGCAGAGCCCTGAGACCTCTGAGGATTTCCTCCACCGCGTTGAGAGTTTTTTCTTAGAGCCCAGGAGGGATTGAGCGTTTAGGGTTTCGGGTTTAGGCCGGGTTCAGGTGGGTTTGGGGAGTGGGCTGGGTTCAGAGGTTAGAGCTCAGGGCATCAGACTCGGGTTTGGAGTACTTTGTGTTGTACCACAGCATGAGCGGCGGGGGGGGTGGGGGTCGCATTATCCCCGCAGCGGCTGGGGTCGGCGGGAAGTCAGCTTCTATTCCTTGGTGGCCCAGTGGCGCCCTTGTCCAGCTTTTTTGGGTATTACGGTCCCTTATAAAGTAAGCAACCCCAAGAAGCGTACCCTTGTCATAATATGGTCACTGGGCTACCAAGATTTTCGAGTAAGTCCACAAAGGGTTTTGGTTAGTTTAGGGGTTTGGAGGGGCTTTTAGGGCCCCTGTAACCCCAAAACATCTTGGCTGCAAAAACGCTGCACTTCAAAGGCCAAACCCTTGCATCAAGTAGACCCTTCGAAGCCTCACCTCGCCCTCAAGGGAGTTGCTCGAACTGCTGTGGGAGCCACGGTGGCAGACCAGCCAGCCACCAGCTCGGCGTTCGCAGTGCTCTGAGCCCTCCCCAAAACCGTAGCTTCCACCCGAGTCCTGATCCTGAGCACTCCCCCTAAACCCTAAACCCTATACCTTGAACCCTAGGCAGGACCTGGGTAAGGATCAGGTGTCATCTTTGCATGTTCCTTTATTGCCTGACCGTCAGAAAGGCCCTTGGCCCTCCGTGATGGCCGATTAGGGTCTTTGGGTTTAGGGTGTAGGGCTTAATAGAGGGTTTCTTGTGTAGTGTTTAGTGTTTAGATTTTAAGGTCTTGGGGCAAGCACGAAGTCCCCAAGCCCACAATCATCCTACAACCCGAAATCCTTAGAGACACGTAGAACCAGGGACCTTGGATGGAGAGTCGGCGCACGGGCATCGGTAGGGTGCAGGGATCTATTCCCGGCAGCCCCTAACCCCTAAACCCTAATTCGCCAAGAACCCAAACCCCTGAAAGCCCTGAAGGCCTTTGGCTAAAGCCCAAAGCCCTATGCAACCGAAACTTGACACCCGAGGTCGGTGAGATGCACCCGGAAGGGGGGTCGCAGGCGGTGGAACTTGGGGACTGCAGTATGGTGACTCAGGGGCCTTCACCGAGCTGGATTTGGGGTTGTAACCCTAAACCCTAAACCCTAAACCCTAAACCCTAAACCCTAAACCCTAAACCCTAAACCCTAAACCCTAAACCCTAAACTTGTCTACAGGTTTGGTCGGCTAAGCCATAGAGGCTTTCCGCAAATGGGGTACCCTTTCGGAGGGGAGTGGGGGTCCCTAAGATCAGCTTAGGAAGGGCTACCCCTAGCTTGCGAACATGCCCATGTTTGGAAGTATCCCCTTTTTGTGCTTAGGGACGCTTCGTGAATGTCTAGGAGTGCGATGCCTTCCTAACTGAGCAGCCCACCCGCCCCCGCCCCATGGCCCCCCCCCCCCCCTCCCTCCTTGCAACCCAGCAACGCTTGAATAAGTAGGGTTTTGGATTTAGGGTTTAGTTTAGGGTTTCGGGTATAACCCAGCAACGCTTGAATAAGTAGGGTTTTGGATTTAGGGTTTAGTTTAGGGTTTCGGGTATAGCCTAGTTGGACCGCCCGCCCAACCCCCCTGCCCACCGTACTCCCGCACGAGCCTTGAACAAATTTAAAACCAATAGTTGCAGGCTAGAGGCAATGATTGCGGGTACTTTGGAGGGGTCGGGTGCATCCAGTCTTCAGCAACCCTAAACCCTAAACCCTAAACCCTATAGACCCCAAACCCCAAACCCCACACCCCACACCCCAAACCCCAAACCCCAAACCTCTACCGCAGCGCCAAGGCTCAGAGTTTTGGCAGATCCGTCTTTTCCCAAATCCACTGGGCCCCCTCCCAGTCCTCCATGTTCGTGGCGGGCGACTGAGACGTCGTAGAGCCGCCAAGGCCTCATGCCATCTGCATGGAACCTTCGCTTTCTTATGGCTGGCTCTTAGGACTAATTTTTCAAGAAGCTACCATAAGGAACCCAAAAGTTAAACCTTTGGGAGGGGTTCAGAAGTCAGCCAAGGAACCCCTTCCTCTACATCAAGACTGCTTTTGCTCCTCGGCAAAAGGAGAGGCTGGGAGTCTACTAGAAGTCCATGAATTGGAGGAGCCCATGTCGGAATTCGGCACAGTAAGGCCCTATACGCTAAACTGGCAACCCACCTGACTTTAAGGAATTTACAAACAGGGAGTGGACTTGGGGATTGTTTATAGGGTTTAGGGTTTAGGGTTCAGGGTTTAGGGTTTAGGGTTTAGGGTGGTGTTTGGCCTCTAAGGTCGGCTTTAGCACAGGCAGGTAAAGTTGCCAGCTGAAGGCCGCGGAGTGTCAAGTAACAGGGATGCGTTCATCCAACCGGGTGTAGGGTTCAACGGTTCATGCTGGGATGATCCCCCTTATACTAACCGTCCTTACTAAAGGACATAGTGCCGCCTTTCATAATCCCAAGTAAGGACTGTTAGTATAAGGGGGGAACGACATCCCAAGGTTCATGAGTTCTCAGCTCAGCACATGTGCCGAGGCAACCATTGAAGATGTGAAGTTCGTTCCTGGACAGGGGAGGGAGGTTTAGGGTTTAGGGTTTAGGGTTTAGGGTTTAGGGTTTAGGGTTTAGGGTTTAGGGTTTAGGGTTTAGGGTTTAGGGTTTAGGGTTTTAGTGTTTAGGGTTTAGGGTTTAGGGTTTAGGGTTTAGGGTTTAGGGTTTAGGGTTTAGGGTTTAGGGTTTAGGGTTTAGGGTTTAGGGTTTAGGGTTAGGGGTCGGGGGAAAGTGTTCGCAACTCTCGGAATCGGGTGAATTGCCGAAGCTCCCTCCTTGAGTAGGAATGTTGATCTCCACTCCAATAGCTTGGCTGCAGCATCAATGCCTACACTCCAAACCACCCTAAATCCCAAACCCTAAACCCTAAACCCCAAACCCTAAACCCGACCTCCCTGCGGGTTCGGCACCCTCAGCCCGAAGCCCAAAACGTTGTCGCCCCGAGACTGATGGTTCCATGGCCATTCTGGGCTGAAGGTGTAGGGTTTAGGGTTTAGGGTTGAGGGTTTAGGGTTTAGGGTTTAGGGTTTTAGGGTTTTAGGGTTTTAGGGTTTAGGGTTTAGGGTTTAGGGTTTAGGGTTTAGGGCGCTCTTTGGTCAAACTTAAACCCGAATGAAATCCTGCGTCCCACGCCCTAAACCCTACACCCCGACCCCACGCCCCTCCTCCTGCCCGCCATGTGTCGCCCCCTATCTCCGCCCCGGTCCGGGCTGTGCCTCCACCCAGACCCAGAGACTCCAAAGCCCCTCTTACTTAAGGAACATACTGTCAATCATATTAGGGTTCCGATGATAATTTAAGGTGTATGCCTTTTAAGGGACAATCATATTTGGGTTCCGATGATAATTTGAGGTGTATGCCTTAGTTAGGGGCTATCGGAGTTTCTGGGTACCCACGCTGGCTACCTTACCTTGCCTTGCCCTTACATCGGGGCTTGCACGCCCAGGACAGCCCAGAACCCAGAACTAAACCCTAAGCCCTAAACCCTCAACCCTCAACCCTAAACCCTAAGCCCTAAACCCTAAACCTTACTCCTGTTCAGCACGAAATTATGCCCGTCAGGAGCCAAGGATCCCGAGAAGCCCAACTTCGTGGATCGCTTCCTCTTTTGGCGCTCCTGCGCCCTGCGGGTGCCGCACCTGTGGTAAGGGTGCTTCGGGGTTTAGGGTTTAGGGTTTAGGGTTTAGGGATCGGAGCCTCGAAATGCCCAAAACCACCCAAGGAACTGGGCATCTGCTATTTTTGAAGGGTATTAGTTCGGAGTTCAGGTCGATTTTTCGGGAAGGGTATGTAAAGCGTTCCGGTACATACGGCATGTCGAACCCTGCAAACTCTGTGTCGATGAAAAGAAGAGGCTTCCAGACCGAAAAGTCAGAAGCCCCAAATCCTCGAACAACCTTACCTACCTGCAGACCTGCAATAACTGCCTATCTTCCCTTGATTTTGGCGTCGCCGTTCTGGGTCATCATCATGGGTTAAAAGGTCCTCAAGGGCTGGGGCTCGAAAGGTGGGGGGGGGGGGGGAGGTAGGGGCCTCAGGGCGCGATACGCAGGGAGCCTTGGGCAAGCAGGAGAGCCTTGGGGCGAGGGAGCCTCCCTTTTCTTGCTTCAGGACCTTGTAATGCAGGGTTCGGGCTCGAGGCATGCATCGAAGGGGGTTCCGGAAGTTCCGGGTTTTTGCAGAAGGATAGAGAAGGCGCGCCTAAGAAAGTCCTAAAAGCCTTGTGCGAAGAAGGTCGGCAACATGGCTGCCATTACTTTCGTGATCCTGAGCCTGAACGACTTTCAGATGGCCAGGGGCCTTGTGACGCCAGAAGTCCTGAAGGGTCCCTATGTGATTTTAATTAGTTATACAATAGTGACCCTCCCAAAACCCTATTCTAAGCGTTAAGGCCCCCTGCTTTCCCCTCCCACTCACAGAGTCTGGCAAAATTGCCTTGGAGAGAAGTCGGAGGGAGGTAGGTTTCGGATTTAGGGTTTAGGGATTAGGGTTTTCCCACTTCCGAAATCTCGGGTTTAGCGTTTAGGGATTAGGGTTTAAGCCAATTATTACATCCCAGCTATAACTTTAGACCAAACTTGAACCCTAGAAGGGTTTATGGTTCGTATTACCTTAGTCTTAGCAGGAATTATCGTAGGATACAGTATATGATCCCAAGTTCAGGATCGGTTCTTTTGGTCCCCAGGGCTCTGCAAGTGGTTTCCAACTCAAAAACACCCCGCAACTCTGAGAAATCGGCACTTTTTTTGTTGCTGTGGCTTGCAGCAGATAGGATTGCGCGTCCTTAAGGGGTGGGAGTTCATGGGGGGTAGGTACTTAGGGAACCTTAGGGAAGCTTTTAGTGAGCCTTAGGGAGTAGTGGGGAGTACTCGGGAACCTTGGGTTACATACCCCCCTTGAACCCTCCTGCCTTAAGAACCCTTTTGAGTTAGATAGGATTGCACGTTCTTAAGGTTGAGCAATTCCAGTTCGTGGCGTTGATCTGGGCTTTAGAGTCTTAAGCTTTGTTCTGGCCACCGGAACACCCAACCCTAAAAGCACTAAACCCTAGAGCCCCCGAAGCCAGCTCAATTTCACTAAACCCCCAAACCCTAGACCCTAAACCCTCTAAACCCTAAACCCTACACCCTACACCCTAAACCCTAAACCCTAAACCCTAAACCCGACCTCCCACACAAGGCCTGGCGGAATGTGCGGAACAAGCTGGAGGCCTTCCCTGAGATGATTCGGCCCTACTTCTCGCCGCCTGGCCCAAAAGCCACAACGAGCAATGGGGTTTAGGGGCTAGGGTTTAGGGTTTAGGAATTAGGGTTTATGGTTTAGGGTTTAGGGTTTCGGGTGAGTAATCTATGGGCCTTAAGAATTACAATCGGGTTTTGGGGGTTAGTATAGTAGAACTATAGAGACCCCTATACTAAAGCAGTCCACAGGAATTTGGCCCAACTTTCGTGTTGAGGTTTTCGGGTCCTAAACCCAGAGCCCTACAAGGAAGCCTATAAGGCCTGAGGGCCAAACACCAAGACATTCCCCTTTTTTGGTTCCCTGGGTCAGGCTAGGGTTTAGGGTTTAGGGTTTAGAAATTAGGGTTTAGGGTTAAGGGTTTAGGGTTTAGGGTTCCGCATCTCACGTCCAAGCATTCACTAGTCAAGCAATTACTCGAGCGTTGGGAAAATACCCACGCGCCTGAAGAATCCCATAACATTAAGAACATATTTCACTTTCATTTTTCGGATATTCGTCGGCAAGGCGCATTTTGGGCCTTGCCGACGAATTTCATTAAGGTTTAGCCCAAATTTGGCCGTCGGCAAAGCGCAGTTTGGGCCTTGCCGACGAGTTTGAGGCCCAAATTGTGCCTTGCCGACGAATGCATTAAGGTTTGGCCCAAATTTGGCCTTGCCGACGAATTTAAGGGCCCAAATCCGTCGGCAAGGCGCATTTTGGGCCTTGCCGACGAATTTAAGGCCCCTTTGAGGCCTTGACGAATTCGTCGGCAAGGCTCAATTTGGGCCTTGCCCACAAATCCATGAAGGTTTCAAACCTTCAGGATTCGTCGGCAAGGCTCAAATTTGGGCCTTGCCGACGACTTCATGAAGGTTGGGGTCAAATTTGGGCCTTGCCGACGAATTCATTCAAGTTTAAATAATATACATATGAAAGAGAGTGTAGGGTGTAGGGTTTAGGGTTTAGGGTTTAGGGTTTTAGGGTTTTAGGGTTTTAGGGTTTTAGGGTTTTAGGGTTTTAGGGTTTTAGGGTTTTAGGGTTTTAGGGTTTAGGGTAGCATCCCAGGCGCTTCATCTACGCAGAGCTCTTTGCCCAGACCATGTCTGAGATGGCTTCTGCCCCTTGTCTGGCATACTCGCGGTCGCGATGCAACCCTGAACCCTAAACCCTAAACCCTAAACCCTAAACCCTAAACCCTAAACCCCCAAACCCTCTTTAGGACTTAGGTTCCCTCGGCCCAAAATCCTCCAACCCCAAAGCCCTGCATCCCAGCAACCCAAACCCTACAGCCCCCCCAAGCGCCTGCCTCAAGGCGGTGTGCCTTCCCCCAACTCAGGGCTTAAGGTTTAGGGTTTAGGGTTTAGGGTTTAGGGTTTAGGGTTTAGGGGGTTTTGGGTGCACATAGCTTCGGGGTCCAGCGGCTCTGTGCGTAAAGGTTGAAAGTTCGGGGCTTAGGGGGGTGTAAGCTCCGCGTCTGAGCACCAGGAAGTCTTGCGGAGCCTCAACTTCGCCGAGTGTTTTCGGTTCCCCACCCCACCCCTCAACCTACTGAGGCCTCCCTGTCACCCTGCCGTAGGATGAGCCTTAGGGTTTAGGGTTTAGGGTTTAGGGTTTAGGGTTTAAGGAGGGCCATTCCGGGTGATTTCGGCGCGGCATTGGTAAGGCGAGCGGGCGTGCGAGCCCTGCCTTGTTAGGGGGGTGGCGGGGGTTTAGGGTTTGGGGTTTAGAGTTTAGGGGTTAGGGGTTTAGGGTTTAGGGTTTAGGGTTTAGGGTTTTAGCCCTAAGTCCTGACCGGAGACTATAGTATAGTCGCTTAGCTACGCAATTAGAACCCTCTCTTGACACCCTCCACTTGGGATGTGTCCCCTTATTGTACCGACTATAGCACACCCCCCCCCCCTATTGTAATCCCTTTGAAGGGCTGTTAGTATAAGGGGGAACATCCCAACCCTAAACCCTAAACCCTAAACCCTAAACCGGTAAGAAGGCGCCCAGGTAGGGGGCCCGCCCTCTGAGCAGCCTCAGGTCGTTGCAGTCTTCGTCTTCATGCGGGCATGGAAGGAGCAGACGAAACAGGTTAATGTAGGGGGGGGGGGGGGGGGGGGGCGGTTTAGGGTTCAGGGTTTAGGGTTTAGGGTTCAAGGTTTAGGGTTTAGGGTTTAGGGTTTCGGGTTTAGGGTTACCAACAGTATTCCCCTTTATATCCCCCCAAAACCCCTTCTAATCATTCAGGCCCCTATGTTAGGGTTTAGGCTTCCGAGTTTGGGGTTTATGGTTCAGGGTTGTGGCTTACCAGTTCATCGCTAGGCTTTGGGGTTGAGGGCTTTCAGTATTCCTGCCTAGGCCTTTGAAACGGCCTCAGAATTTGTTTTGGGGCTTGTAGGCCATTCTTCTGGATGCTGTGGGAATCCTGATCAGGCTAGGGGTATAGTTTGTGGAGTCCCGCGCCTGGCGGCTCATGTGGTACCTCAGTCGGGCTACACGCGGCTATAATATGCATTTAGGGTTTCAGTATAGGGTTTAGGGTTTAGGGTTTGGGGTTTAGGGACTGGAGCCAGTTCCTACATGCAACCCAATTAGCACTTTGACCTACCCAAGCAGAGCCTATGCCCCGAAGCTTGTAGTGGCTTGCTGTCCCGTTTGTTTAGGTCCGCCAATGTGCTGGGATGTTCCCCCCCTACACTAACAGTCCTTATTTGGGATTATGGTACCGACTGTTAGTATGAGGGGGAACATCCCAATCAACGTGTAGCAAACACAGCTGTTTCCTCACAGTGGTAACTTGATTTGCGTTCTCCATCAGCAACCCAGTGTAGAGCCACCCCGAACCGTAAAACCTTCAAGGTTTAGGGCTCCGGGTTCAGGGCTCAGCATAGGGTTCCCTGAACCCTAAACCCTAAACCCTAAACCCTAAACCCTAAACCCTAAACCCTAAACCCTAAACCCTAAATCCTAAACCTTCCTGCAAGATGTGGGCATGGCAGGAGCAGGACAACTTCGAGCGAAGCTCCGATCTTACGCGCTTGGGTTGGCCCCCTGGCTCGTGGGGAGTTTCGGGTTTAGGGTTTAGGGTTTCGGGTTTAGGGTTTAGGGTTTCGGGTTTCGGGTTTCGGGTTCGGGGTTAGGCGAGGGTTGAGGGACTGTTAGGATTCACGGTTGAAGCCTAACACTCTAAACCCTCCCTAAACCCTAAACCCTAAACCCCAAACCCCAAACCCTAAACCCTAAACCCTAAACCCCAAACCCTAAATAGCCCTTAACCCTAAACCCGACAACCCCAAGCCTCAACCACACGGCTTGCTGGCATCGTGTCTCCCGAGTTCACCTAACCTTTGGCATCTCGTCGTTGTTCGTTTGCCATAACATCTGTCAACTTAGCCTTGGTCCACATCTCAAGGTGTAGCCTTAAACCCTAAACCCTGAACCCTAAACCCTGAACCCTAAACCCTAAACCCTAAACCATCTCAAGTTAAAACTGCTCTACATATGCTAGATTCGTAGAACTCTTTTTGTTGCTGTGCTAATCGGGCCAACAAGGCAATCAGTAATCCTGCAGATTCTCGACCTTTCCATGCGAGAGCAGGGATTCTGCTGATTCATGGTTTAGGGTTTAGGATGGTTTAGGATGGTTTAGGATGGTTTAGGGTTTAGGGTTTAGGGTTTAGGGTTTAGGGTTTAGGGTTTAGGGTTTAGGGTTTATCCTTCACATTCGTAGGTCGAATCGCAGATTTCCTCCTCGCCGGCAAAACAGAACGAGTGGAGATTCAAGCCGTGGCCCGAACATTATATCTTCGCTGATGCGAAGGGCAATAGACACCAGAACAGATACTTAGTCGATCGAAAGCATTCGTAGTGTTTCCACGGAGCTGCCCAAGCCGAGCTGCAACACTTAGCAACTATATACGCCATCTGGGAATCCGGTAAGCTAAGTGATGCCGATGTTTCTTCACTGTTAGAAGGTGATGCAAAAGAGCTCCTCAGCACCAACACGAGCCGTAAACCCAAAAACCTGAACCTTCAACCCTCAGCCCAAGGACCCTTGGGGTTTAGGGTTGAGAGTTCATTTGTTCAGTGGTCCCTGAGGTTCATGAATACCATGGGCCCGTTTCTGCCCTATCTCGTCGTGCCGCTGTCCTTCTTCTTCCGTGTGGACTACTTCCAGCGAGACGTGTGCTTGGCTCAGTTGCCGTGTGGGGCGGCGTCTTGTTTTGCATCACGTGCCGGAGAATCAAGAATGCAGTTTTTTAATATCTAGATGTAGTAGTTAAAGTAGATAGACTAGATAGATGTTCACATAATATGTATATATATATATATATATGTATAGTCAGGGTGGAAGCGGTTTAGGCTTTTAAGCGGTTTAGGGTTTTAAGTTAGGATGCGTCAGGGTGTCTAAGTCAGATTCCTGAATTCAGGGGTTTTGAAGCTCTGGATGGAGGGTTTCAGGCCTAGGGCTTAGGACTTTGGGCTTACTTAGGGTTTTTTAGGGTTTAGGGTTTAGGGTTTAGGGTTTCCCTTACAACCCCCAATGCAGGACACCCTCGTGAAAGGTTTAGGGCTTAGCCTCGTAAACCATTACCACTAAACCAACTGAACACCTATAAACCCCTAAGCTCCCTAAGCCACCCGAACCCTAAACTTTAAACCCTAAACCCTAAACCCTAAACCCTAAACCCTAAACCCTAAACCCCTTCAAGGTGTGCTTCGGTGATTGGCATGCTGATGCACGACCCCCTGTCTAGCCTCGTCTTCGCCCAAGCGGCCAGCAGCTGCAGTGAGCCCCTGGGCTCTAGATTAGGGTTTAGGGTTTAGGGTTTAGGGTTTAGGGTTTAGGGTTTAGGGTTTAGGGTTTAGGGTTTAGGGTTTGAGGTTTAGGGTTTAGGGTTTGGGGTTAGGGTTTAGGGTTTCGGGTTTCGGGATTCGGGAGGATTAACTTAGGGGGTTCTTGGGGATTCCGTATTGAGCTTGATGGTGAGGCAGGGAGGGGGGGGGGGGGGGGGGGGGGGGGGGGGGGGGGATTGGGGGTCTAGTGAGGGCTGAGTTTGGGTGCTTGAGGGGGTTAAGGATTTCGGGCTGTTGGCGTTGTGCAGGGATTTTGGCTAAGGGACGGCCTGGAAAGCGCAGTGGCGTACCCTTTCATGGAGCGCAAAATGGGTTTAGGGCTTAGCCCTCATGATTCTCTGACAACCTTGCATTGTGGGATGCTGCCGCACCTACCACTAGCCAAAATAACTCCATGTTTGGGACCAAATGAACCTCTTGGGAGCCCAGGGGTACCCTTTACCCTTGTTTTGGTTCAAGGTTCTGTTATAAAGGGTTTCTGGTTCATATACCTCAATAGGAATTGTAGTCGTATAGGGTATACGACCCCAACGTAAAGGTTCATGTTGCCCCCCAGAAGACTTGAGACCCAAAAGCCATTAAGGCCTTGGGAAAAGCGGCGAAACCCTTGACGCCCTGCAAAACCCTGAACCCTAAACCCTCAAGCCCTAAACCCTAAACCCTAAACCCTAAACACCCTAAACACCCTAAACACCCTAAACCCCCTAAACCCCCATAAACCCCCTAAACCCCCTAAACCCCCTAAACCCCCTAAACCCTAAACCCTAAACCCTTGAAGCCCTGCATCCATATCAGGTCCGAGCTGGCAGCTGCCCTCTCAAATCCCTTACAGAAGCCTCCCCGCTTCGGTGAGCCAGGCTTCGGTGGGGCTTAGGATGGTGTAGGGTTTAGGGTTTAGGGTTTAGGGTTTAGGGTTTAGGGTTTAGGGTTTAGGGTTTTGAGGTTTAGGGTTTTAGGGGCTTAGAATTTGGGTGTAGGGAGGGCTTAGGCAACCCGAAATTCACATGGGCAGCTCTTGTGGGGGGCTATTCCAATACAAGGCCGTGCATTTAGGATATTCAAGAAAGGCAACCTGGGTAGTGGTACCCTTCTTCTCGTGTTTGTTAATCTTTTGCTTCCCAAGAAAACCAATGAAAACTACATTCCCCTGTTGATTCCTAGGCGGTTTAGGGTTTAGGGTTGAAGGTCATCATCATGGGTATTCTGAGTAGTCTCTTAGGTTCCCAGGCAAGACACACCGAAAGATGAGAATCTCTGAGCCCTGAAGCCTAAACCCTAAACCCTAAACCCTAAACCCCAAACTCCAAACCCTAAACCCTAAACTGCCGAGAGCGCCGCTGTCCATTTACATGGGCGCTCGAGGCTTCGACCGAGGTCCCCGACCGAGCGTCTCCACAGAACGGTGAGGGAGGGTAAAGCCAAGAGCACCCATTTTTTTAGGGGGTCGGAAGGTGCCCCCCGGCCAGGGTCTGGGCCCGGGACTGGAGGGGCCCTCCCCGGGGCCAGAGCCTCCTGCACGATTCGCCCAAAAAAGACCTAATGGACGCCTCGACCTTCCTTGACACCCATCCTGGGACCCCTCCTGGAACCCCTCAGACCCTGGCCCGGCTGGCAGATTCCAGCCCCCCAAAAAAGGCAAAGTTTTGGGACCTGCACTCTTGGCACGCTCTGGGACGCCTGAGACCCCCTTCTGTGAGACGGTGCCCCTCCTGAGAACTGCTGGCAATCTTGGACCCTCCTTTCTGGGACGCCTGGACCCGCCTTGGGATGGGAAATTCCCCTCTGCGACCTTCTGACATGGGTTTTTCTGTCTTGCTACGAGCAATTGGAAGCAGGGGCGGGCCGAGGCCCCTGCTACCCCCTACAAATGAGAATAGTTTGGGTGGTTGGGGTGGGACTACATGCTAACGCAAGCGAGCGGCCCCGGGTGCTTTTAGCACCAGCGAGCTTCCCTTCTATACACCCTAAACCCCAAACCCCAAACCCCAAACCCCAAACCCCAAACCCCAAACCCTAAACCCTAAACCCTAAACCCTAAACCCTAAATTTTAAAGCTGCGCTAACTGCGCCAGTGAAGTTGGTATCTTTTTGGTTTGTCCCGAACTCTTTCTCCTTTCATATTTTCTTCAATTTACTTAAACCTCTTTTAGGTCCATAGGTTCAATTTA